GCACTGGGGGGGCTGGATCGGGTTTGCACCAAGAGCAGAGAGGGATGGGGCACGGGGACTGGGGCTTGGCCAGGGCAGCAGGCGGGATGTGCTCCCTGCACCCCGGCTTGGGGAGCCTGGAAGGGACTGGGGGCAGCCGCACCCGCCTGGTTCTGGGTCTGCAATGCTGCTTAGGGAAGGGATGCCCTGGGAGCCCCCCACTCCCCCCGCTCCCCTCTCCTCACCGTGGTGGTGGAGGTCACTGCAAACCAGCGCAGGATGCCGGGCAGGGGGTAAGCTGTTTCGAAGGTCGTCCGCTCGATCCACATGTTCTGTGGGGAGGGGCAGCAGTCACCCTGCGCCCTCCTCCCTATCGCCCTGGGACACCCTGGCTGCCCCGTGGGGCGGGGGGCTCCCACCTCCCCTGCCCATGGACACGGGACCACCACCTTCCCCATCCCAGGGCTGGGGACCCCCTGTCTCTCCTGCGTCCCCCTTCCTCTGGACACCTGGCTCCTCACGGGCCCCTGTTCTGTGGGGAGGGGCAGCAGTCACCCTGCGCCCTCCTCCCTATCGCCCTGGGACACCCTGGCTGCCCCGTGGGGCGGGGGGCTCCCACCTCCCCTGCCCATGGACACGGGACCACCACCTTCCCCATCCCAGGGCTGGGGACCCCCTGTCTCTCCTGCGTCCCCCTTCCTCTGGACACCTGGCTCCTCACGGGCCCCCCCAGCTCTCCCCGTCCCTGCAGGCTGGGGGTCCTAGCAGCCCCCACCAGCACTCACTGCAAATTCATTGTCTGGGTCCTTCGGGCCTTTCTTGAAGGGCCGCGAGTAGCTGAACTTCTGGACGTGGTTGGCTTTATAGAAACTGCAGGAGAGGGAAGGGGCAGGGGATGGAAGAGGCCCCCCCTGCCGCGCCCCCTCCCAGGCGGAGCAGGGCGGGTGCACCCCACCGGCGCTGTGGCACTCACTTGGTGATCTGCTCCGGGATGCTCCGGTCCTTGAACCGCACCTTGGCTTCCTCCACCGGCTGCACAGTGAAACACTGGATGTCTGCGGGAGTGAAGGAGCCACGGGCACGCACTGGGGGTTCAGGGGCTGCAGGGAAGGGGAGGCCCCAGGGCCCAGAGGGGGAGACCCCAGGGGCGCAGAGGGGAGGCGCTGCGGGGCCCAGGATGGCACGGGGATGAGCCGCCCTCCCAGCCCTGTCCCCTCGCTGGGAGGATACACTGGCCCGGGGAGCCGGTGATGTCCTGGCCGGGCGGGGACGTGCT